AAGCTCATAGCTCATTAGCTCAACTATACTTGTTTACGGATTTATGCAGTCTCGTTCAAGGCTTTCTTTAGGGTCATTAGGCCTTGAGGATCAGAACCTGAGATTTAACCTTTGTCAACTAGGATTTAGGAACCGTATTGAATAAAGACGCTAACACACACACATACAAATTCGCATACACACGAGCATAAGTAACAGGACCAGTATGAAAGGAAATTAACCAAACCACTCTAAATCTATCCATCTAGGTTTTTACTTTTTAATTTTTTGGCTTGATTGAGTCTATATAAGAATTAAGATAGAGCCGGATAGTGTTCTTGGCCTAGTGTCAACGTAAGACTTTCACAAGAATGACACCCAGCATTGATGATGCCCATCATCATAGTTTGCTCATATAAATAAGAAGACCTAGGAGGATGCACCCTGTTCGGAGTACATAGTACATAGTCTAGAGTCGGACCGTTGACTTGGTACATTTTCACACGTTTTGAGGGTATCGTAGTCGACATCGTCAGTGTACCATGCCATGCTTAGCACCACAATACAACTTGACAAAGATACAAGTAAAGTAAATCCATTAAACAATTGTCTGCTAAACAGGTGTCGTATCTCTCCTTCTTTCCTGGCCAATTCATCTATCATATATCCTCGTACCACCTCTTCACTATCACATTATCTTAATTGCTTAATTAAATGTGCCTTCATATGCCCTTTTGAGCGGATTTCATGAGAACTTTTTACATGACCGCGGGTTTTCTCACTCCAAGCCCCTACCATTGCGCTGGGAACGTTGATCGGAATCTGCCATATTATTCCGAAATATACTTTCCAAATGTCCTATTGGAGTTCTCCTCTTACCCCGTAGGATCTGTCTCCTATCTCCCTGGTCCAATTGACCCCTACCACACTATCCGTGCTACTCGAGGCATTATTTCCCACGCTCTACCTCAGGCCTCTGACGGCACGTATACTATCGCCTCGCTGAGTAGGCCGATCAAATACGTCTATTGTTAGCCAACTAGCTCTAGTCTCTGCCGCAATTCTCTCACTCTTCTTTCCATAATGCCAACTCCATGAATTCTTATGCCTTAATCTCTTGTGTGCAAACCCACAAATGTTGTGCTTTTACTTATTTTGATTATGCTCACTGCAGACGTCTCCTCTTGATTTCCGATTCTCTTTTTCTGGTCTCCATACGACTGTCTTTCCTAAAATTAATGATCTTACCTTGATCCAGTCGTCTTGTCTTTGCTGATCTTACTGAGCTTGCTTGACCTTTTCCGAATTTGCTTAGCAATATACAAAGTCTTCGCTGATCCTGCATTATTCAAGTCTCCTGTTCATTAGATTTCTTTAGGACAGTATAATGATGCCCTCTCGGATCTTGCGTTCTCTTCTATTTTCAACATATGCAGCCAGCCTTTTTGTTGATTTCCAGTCGTGTGAGAATGTACCAAGTCAACGGTCCGACTCTAGACTATGTAGTATGTACTCCGAACAGGGTGCATCCTCCTAGGTCTTCCTATTTATATGAGCAAGTTGTAAAAACTAGGTCAAACACCTACTCTACAATGAATGTAGACCGCACCCATACAAAGGGCTACACATTATTTGTCCTTATACGTTCCTCAGGTTAGTTTCTATTAATGTGCTTGGTATACATCATTATTGAGTTTATTAATATAGTTTTATTATGCTTTGACTCCAGAATTCTAAAAAACGTTATCTATATTTCTATACAAAGTGATTTTTTAAGCTACTATTAGTTAGTATTAACAGCCAATAATATTTAGAACAAAATAAAATCTCTACGATGTGTTCCTTTACTCTGGAAATAATCACTTGTCAGCTTTATAATATATTTAGGCAGATTGAGGAGATAAGAGAGTTGAAAGCATATGTCACTTGCACCGCTGGCTTCTAGTCAAAAGAATACATACGATATTTTTATCGTGCCTAAGATCGAGTGGGCCTACAGATTTTTTTGAGCTCAAGAGCGAATCTGCTGGGCCAATGGAAGCAAATCCCGCTGATGGGGACACACCTATAAGGTCATCGGACTTTGCTCATTACGATTCTGGGTAGATGAGCTTTGCCTGATTATTGCAGGCCATAATAACGTTGCTAAGTGGCAAATTTAATGTGAGTGGTTAGATGCAATGTTAAGGCAAGACGAGAACTTGGTGAATTGATTCGAGGTTGTCCCGACTTGCAACTTGTAAGACTTCTGATAAGATACTTTCGAAGACAAGGGGTGAAATCAATGCTGCCAACTTGATTACAAAAAGCCTATTATAATCCAGGCTTTACAATCTCAACCTATTTCTGTTAAAGCTATGCTATGGCACTTTTATAGAGGTATTAGTAAGTAAGTAGAGCAAATCGTCGAATTTGGCTAAAACTTTCCCATTTTTTAATGCCATGGGCCAAACAATCAAGCGTTATAACAATTCATCTCTTTAGATGGGTATATTTTGTCTTGTCACGAATGTATCAAACAAATTAACTTTGAAAACTTAGCCGAACAACCAAGTAGTCCTCAGACTGGCAGAAGTTGCAAAGAAATTTACTTGAATTGTTGTGCCTCATGCATTTACATTCCCTTTTAGCTGATTCCGTCTAGGATGGCGGCTTCCATGGTTTGTTCTGAAGAGGCCGATCCCACCGTGTGTGCCCACCTGACGCCCCTTTGGCACACTTATTCCAGCCTTCGAGCAGATGTAGTACGACGGCTTTATTGTCAAGCTAACCATTGCCTCAACCAACCACCCACTGGATTGGATCGAGGCAGCAGAGAGTGGCTCGATGGACTGTACGCCGAATCGGCCAACAAAAGACCAGCACAGAGAGGACTAGCCAAGCGGAGCTACTGCAACATTATTGGCTGCATGTCAGACTTGCCTACATAAGTTTGATAGCAAATGTAGAAAACCGCTAACAAACACCAATTCACTGTGAAATATAGATCTGCAAGCTATGCGTTTATATTCCTTATCAGACCAACCTATCGAAGAAATGATAACAATTTGTTGTGTTGCTTTCTGGAACGATTTTCTTGACTTGCCTTAGTGTCATGTTCACCATCTTTTCCCAGTATGAATGAGTAATGACTGTACTATAATGCCTATGCAGTATATTAGAGTAAACCTTCGTTAGTAACGCAATAAACAAGAAAAAACTCGTTAAATACCTTTTGTTGAGTACATCAACGCAATTTCATAGAACAACAAAAACGACTTTATTTGTACATCTATCACAGATGGAGC